GAGACAAGCGTCAAGCCCTTCCCGCTCTCCAACCCTTTCTCTCATAGGACACACAAGCCTTAAGCTCGTGAATGTACGAGCTGTAAACCTTCTCATCCCAAGGGCCCAAGCAAAGATCCACTGCTACTGGAACAGGGTTGAACTAAAAACCTCTGCTCCTTAACTAAAAAACCTTCTTGGGCCAGGATTCCACACTAATACTATGAAGAGGTCTGCTGACACTGGAGTCCCTGGTGATAGAAGTGTATATTGTATCACAGATATGCAGTAACTGGGGGAAGCTAGCGATGAAACAAAAACACTGGAAAAAATCTCCTCTAGCACCCTGCCCTTGCTTTCAGTGCATAGTAAAAAATCTCCCACTCACGGAAGACTTTGAAGTCTGTGCTACACTAAAAATTGTAATAGCAACAATAAAATCCAAATCCAGCTCAACTCCTGACTAGCTTCGTTTAACTTTGTACACTCATGGCCTGACAGAAGATGTGGTGCGCTCATTTCTGTGTATAAATATTATTTGCCTGTGTCTCTACTGTTCTTACATACATACCATCTAGCATTCAATGAAAAATTGAAGAAAAAGCAAGAGTAAACCACTGCTTTATCGAGAGAGAAGTATCAAGAGAACCAGAAACTAAGATGAACCAGATATTAGAACTATCAGACAAGGAGATTAAAATAACCATGTTTAATATGTTACATGATCTAATAAAAAAGATAAGAAACACATATAAACCTATACGAGGGGGGACTCAAAAAAACCAGAATTATCTTCTGGGAGGTGGGTCCCTTATAGTACAGGCTTCCTCTGCTAGGTGAGTGTTCTAGGAACCCATCTGTATCAGTGTACCAGCTGGCGTTGTTGTGAGAGGCTGTGTTCGACTTCAGTGAATTTTTCCTGAAGATTCTTCATTTTTATTATTCCTGTTTATTCTATTACGGTTGTCCCAGTTTTTCCCCCTTTGCCCTCCTCCACATAGCTAACCCCACATCCCCACAGCCAGTCCCCACACTGTTTTCCATGTCCACGGGTCATTCATACATGTTCTTTGACTAACCCCTGCCCTTTCTTTCTACCACTCCCCTTCTGCCCACCCCCCCTTTCCGCTGGCAGCTTGTTAGTCTGTTGCCTGTTTCCATGTCTCTGGTTCTGTTTTGCTTGTTGGTTTATTTTCTTCATTAGGTTCCTCTTATAAGTGAAATGATATGGTATTTGTCTTTCATCAACTGGCTTATTTCACTTAGCATAATAGTTTCCAGATCCATCCATGCTGTTGCAAAGGATAGGAACTCCTTCTTCTTTCTTTCTGCTGCATAGTATTCAATTGTGTAAATGTACCAACGTTTTTTAATCTATTCACTTAGGCTGCTTCCAACATTTGGCTATTGTATATAGCATGGCTATGGACATAGGGCTGCATAAGTTCTTTTTAATTGTTTTGGGGTTCTTAGGTATATTCCCAGCAATGGAATCACTGGGCCAAAATGCAGTTCCATTTTTAGTCTTTTGAGAAAATATCATAGTTTTCCACAGTGGTTGCAACAGTCTGCATTCCCACCAACAGTGTACTAGGGTTTCTTTCTCTCCACATCCTTGCCAGAACTTGTTGTTTGTTGATTTATTAATGATAGCCCTTCTGATAGGTATGAGGTGATATCTCATTATGGTTTTAATTTGCATTTCTCTTATGGCTAGTGATGTTGAGCACCCTTTCATATGTCTATGGGCAATCTATATGTCCTCTTGGGAGAAGTATCTGTTCAGGTCCTTTGCTCATTTTTTAATTGGATTGTTTGCTTTCCTGGTGTTAAGTCATATGAGTTCTTTATATCTTTTGGAGATTAAACCTTTGTCTGAAGTATCATTGGCAAATATATTTTCCCATACTGTTGGTTCCATTTTCATTTTGATGATGGTTTCTTTAGCCATGTAGAGGCTTTTTAATTTGATGTAGTCCCATTTGTTTATTTTTCCTTTATTTCCCTTGCCCTAGGATATATATCAACAAAAATATTGCCACATGGGATATCTGAAATTTTATTGCTTATGTTTTCCACTAGGACTTTTATGGTATCACGACTTATATTTAAGTCTCTTATTCATTCCCTGTTTATTCTGGTGTATGGTATAAATTGGTGGCCTGGCTTCATTTCTTTGCATGTACCAGTCCAGTTCTCCCAACATCATTTATTGAAGAGGCAATTTTTACACCATTGTATGCTTGTGCCCCCTCTGCCAAATATTAATTGACTATAGAGACATGGGTTTATTTCTGGGCTATCTTTTCTATTCCATTGATCTATGTGTCTGTTCTTATGCCAGTACCAGACTGTTTTGATTACAGTGGTCTTGTAATATAGTTTGATGTCAGGTATTGTGATCCCCCCAACTTTTTCTTTCTTTCTCAAGATTGCGGTGGCTACTTACAGCCTTTTCAAGTTCCATATAAACTTTTGAAGTATTTGTTCTAGATCTGTTAAATATGACATTGGTATTTTAATAGGAATTGTGTTGAATCTGTAGATTGCTTTAGGTAGTATGGGCATTTTAATAATGTTAATTTTTCCAATCCATGAACAGGGTACATGCTTCCATTATTTGTATCTTCCTCAGTCTCTTTCTTCAGTGTTCTATAGTTTTCTGAGTACAGGACTTTTACCTCCTGGGTTAAATTTATTCCTAGGAACTTTATTTTCTTGTTGTTGCTACACTGAATGAGATTGTTTTCTTAGTTTCTCTTTCTGATAGTTCATTGTTGGTATTCAAAAATAGCATCAGTTTTTGAATATTGACTTTGTATCCTGCTATTTTGCTGAATTCACTTATTAGGTTGAGTAGTTTTTCAGTAGAGCCTATAGGGTTTTCTATGTACACTATCATGTTATCTGCAAATAATGAGTTTTACTTCCTCCTCTGCAATTTGCATGACTTTCATTTCTTTTTCTTGTCTGATTGCTGTGACTAGGATCTCTAGTACTATGTTGAATAAAAGTCGTGAAAGTGGACACTCTTATCTTGTTCCTGATCTTAAGGGAAATGTTTTTAGTTTTTGCCCATTGAGTATGATGTTGGCCATAGGTTTTTGTAGGTTGAGCTATGCTCTGTCTATTCCCACTTTGCTGAGTGTTTTCTATCATAAATGGGTGGTGGATTTTATCAAATGCTTTTTCTGCATCTATTGATATGATCAGGTGATTTTTGTCTTTCATTTTGTTTATCTGATGTGTCACATTTATTGATTTGTGGATGTTGTACCATTCTTGCATCCCTGGAATAAATCCCACTAGATTATGGTATATGATCTTTTTAATGTATTGCTGGATCATGTTTGCCCATATTTTGTTGAGGATTTTATCATCTGTGTTCATTAGGGATAATGGCTTGCAATTTTCTTTCTTGTTGTGTCTTTACATGGCTTTTGGATTAGGATAATACTGGCTTCATTAAAGGTGTTTGGGAGTCTTTCCTCTTCTTGAATTTTTTGGAATAGTTTGAGGGTAGGTGCTAGTTTTTCTTTGAATGTTTGGTTGAAGATTCTTTCAAACCACTTGCCCATTTCATGATGGGCGATTTAGGAGTGCACCTGCCCACACTGCACTGAGTGTGCAGTAGTTTTTGACCAAAAATGGCATGACCCCTGTGCCACACCCCCTTTATTTACCCGATCTCATTCAGAGTGATTTTTTATTGTTTCTCTGGGTGAAAAAAAATCCTCAAAGGGAAACATTTGTCCATGTGGAAGAGGTGAACCAGTAACAGCAGAAGCACTAGAAGGCAGCAAAATCAAAAATTTAAAAACTGTTTTGAGCAGTGGAGTGTCTCAATAGGTGTACTGCATCAAATGGAGAGTACTTTGAAGGTGACTGACGTTTAAACATGTAAGAATAAATGCATAATTTTTTAAAAATAAATTACTTTTTTATGCTTCCTTTCATATAAATGACATATATAAAAATAATTTCTTCAGAGAGATGAAGCATTATTTTTAAAAAGCCAAAGAGAATTGCTATTAATAAAAACATAATATCAGAAGTGAAGAATTCCCCCAGTAAACTCATCAGTAAATTGGCCACAGCTAAGAAAAGAATCAATGACTTACAGGTATGTCAATAGAGATTATCCAAATTCAAACACAAAAGGAAAAAAAGTAAATAAAACCAAATGGAGGATATAAAAGCTCTGAAACAACATATGGTCATAATTCATCTAACATATGTGCAATTAGAGTCCAAGAAGAAGAGAAAGAGAATTGGGAAAAATATATATGAAAAGATAATGACTGAGAATTTTCTAAAATTAATGCAAGACAATAAACAAGCATCCAAGAGATCCCCAAGTAGGGTTTTTAAAAATACACAAACCTAGACATAGTATAATTTAACTGTTGAAAACAAAGGATAAAAAGAAAATATTGAAGGCAACCAGAGGAGGGAGTTGGGAGAATGTCAAAAGAGAGAAATAGAAGTAAGATTAGAGCTCACTTCTTAGAAACTAAGCAAGGGAGAAGATAATAAAGTGATGTCTTTAAAATACTGAATGAAGAAATTATTTCTTTTTTTAACATTTTAGGCATGATAATGTGGTCATATACTTTTTTCCTCAATAGCCATTATATTTAAAGATTCACTAGGGATTGCTTCCAATAATCAGGAAGGAGGGCTCCCAAGGTAGATGAGGGTAAAGATAAAGCAAGATTGGCCATGAGGTGATGATGATTGATATTAAGTGACAAGCACATGGAAATTCAATATGATAATCTCTCTACTCATGATTTTTTGAAAAAAATTTCCATAACAGCAATTTTTTAAATAAATGGAAGTTAAAAAAAGAAAAATAAATGGACAGTTGAGGTAAGGGTATTATAGCACATATCCCACCATGTGTATACCTTTCCTATTTACTTATTTGCCTCTAACTGTTCCTCCGGCCATTGATTCACACCAGAGTCACAGAGTACTATAGCCACCCCTTCCAGTAACACCAAACCAACAAAACCTACCAGTGCCAAAGCTCTCTTCTCCACACAGCGAGCACCGTCCTGAGTCCATCAGATTTGAGAAGAATCTCCATCCAGCTGGGGTCTCATATACAGGAACCTTCATTGATTTGGCCACTCTGAAAAATGAAATCCGAGGCAACAGTCAATTCACTTATCTCCTTTCCTTTCTTTTCTCAGCAAAAAAGGAAGTCTTTAGGATGTATTAATCCCACAATTAGATTTCAATACATCCTGAACAATACTGACAGTTTTTAGGATGTCAAGCCATAAGGTAGAGAATGATAAATAGCCCACTCCAATGGTTCTCAAGTTTGCTTTCCCCATAATATATGATATATTAAGTTAATGTATAGAAGATTCTCACATTTATGTTTCCCTTCTATACATGTTCCTTTAACTTTGTGGTAAGATTTAATTTGGGGATCTCAGAATTTAAATGAAGATGGTGTTTGGGTACAGACACGTTGAAATATTGTTTGACAGTATCCACTAAAGATGAATGTATACATATCCTACAAACCAGTGATTCAACTCCTAGAAATTACTAATGATATGTGACAGACACTTTGGTGCACTGTTCAGCTTCACCCTAAACACACACACACACACACACACACACACACACACATACACACACACACACACACACATTTTAGGAGTTTCAGGACTAGAACACTCATTCTACCAGCTGCTAGGAATGTTGCTGGATGACAGCTCACAAATGTGGCTCCCACTCTCTGTGAAAGAGAGCTGTCTCACTCAAATCATGCTCACTCCCCTGGTCAATCTACATCCGATGACTGGTGAATGAGGGATGCATAAAGGTCCAGCCTCCTTGCCTGTAACTGGCAAAACTCTGTAGGGCCATTTCAGCTCCATAGCCCCCCACAGGTTGGCTGAGACCTTTGTGTGACTGCATCACAGTCCAAATTCCCTCTCTGTCCAATCCTCCTTTCTCACTCCCCCACAGGTGTTGATCTTGAAGGCAACTTTGATCTTGATGGCAGAAAGAAATAAACTTTCTCTAAGCAAATCTCTCTCAGAGCTGCTTCTGGAGGAACACAGTGTGTGACATTATTCAACAGAATGTGTAAAAGATTTTCTAAAAATTATCATAGAACCATGATTCATAATAACTGAAACAACCTAAATGTCCATCAAAGTAGAATGGGCAAATAATTTGCAATATATAACACAATACCATAAATTCCACTGAGTAAACTATTGCTATGTGCGACAACTTAAATGAATCTCACAAACATTGAGTAGAAGAAACCAATAATAATAACTCACATACTGTACTGTTTCATTTAGATAAAATTCAAAAACAGCTAAAGCTAGTCAATGCTATCAAAATTCAGGCTCAATAGATCAAAGAGGTCAAGTGGTTTATTCAGGTCTTACAGAAGTAAAAGGCAAAGCTAGAATTTGAATCAGGTCTGCTTAGTTTCTGCTCATGGTTCTATTTCCCTACATCATGCTGTCTCCCCAAATGTTTTAGCATGTCAAGAGGTACCCAGATCTCAAAGCATGATGGGGGACAAACTGGTACCACAGACATTGGTCTGAAGAGTTCTAACTTTCCCACGTGTAAGCACAAAAAGGAAAAGACACCAAATGCCTGCCACGAGCAAGGTTTAGTTCTTTGAAGGACACAAGTATAGAAGATGGAGAGGAACCAGTGAGGTGTCCTGCTGGAAAAAAAAGAAGGGCCCCTGGCCAGGTAGCTCAGCTGGTTAGAGCCCCGTCTTGATATGCCAATGTGGTGTTTCAATCCCTGGTCAAGACACATACAAGAATCAACGAATAAGTGAATAAAATAAGTGGGACACAAATCGATGTTTCCCTCTCCCCCTCTCAAATCAATTAAAAATTTAAAAGAAAAAGAAAAAGAGGAAGAAAGATGCACATAGGACAGAGAACACAATGTAACAATAATTTCTTTAAGTGTGGTTTGTGGCCAGGTAGAGGGAAAAAAATAGCTAGAAACGTTTGACACAGGTAAGTAAACAGCTCCCTTTCCATAAAAATCTAAATAGAATTAATGAGCTCAGGGTCCTGAAAAACATATGGGCTAAGTCTCTTTCAAGTATGCTTTGAAAAAGAAGTGCCTTTTAAATGTTTGGGTGTTACATCAAAGGGTCTATTTTTTCTTTATTTCAATGGTCTAAGAAAGATAGACAATACGCTAACGTCCTGGTAGGACCAATGAAAACAAATCCTCCCCAAATCGTAGAGCAAAGGTAAATTTTTGGAGCCATTAATTTTATGGTCACAAGTTCAAGGAAGGAGGAATAATTCACACAGAAGCTTTCCCGGAGCAGCACATAGTAAAGCTTAGGTCAAAATTAATTTGGCAAATATGAATGCACATGATTACCAAATAGAACATGAGCAGAGGTGAGTGCAGAGGGTGTGGAGATGTATATTCTCTGGCCAAAACATTCATGTAGATTCAAAGCCAAGTTGGCAGATCTGAAGGGAGGGGAAAGGATTTCCCCAGTTCCCACCCTTCCCAATTAATCACTGTCAGGAGGTCACCAGGCTGAAGGGTGAAGGTGGATTTTAAAGGACCGGATACTTTTATAACTATGAGCCACAGTTGGAGCTATGCAACCTAAGATAACAATGTGAATAATTAAACTTCAGGATCTTGAGCATAAGTTGACTGTGTCCTAGAATCTGAAAGGAATTTCCTCTCCCTCCTCCTTCTACTAAAGTTGGGATCCATCCCAAGCAGCATTCAGCAGATAGTGTTCTCTAGACTGGGTTTCAGCAGGAGGCCCCTAGGGAGTTTCTGAAACCCTGTGGTACAAAGCTCAAAATAAAGCTGCTCATGCTGCGGGTCTGCAGCCCTCTCCTTGACTGCGGCCACTGAGTTGTGGAATAAACATAAGGACTCACTTTCTAGGAAAGACCAGAGTCTGAGGGAAAAGAAAGAAAATGAATTTGGGCTGTGATTCTCCTGCAAGTGGGAATGAGCTCTAGTAGCACCAAAAAAAAAAAAAAAAAAAAAAAAAATGTATATATAAGCTCCTCAGTGTGGATTTTAAAACTTCAAAACATGTGGCTTCAGGTTGGAAATAGCCTGAACCTATTTTTCTAACAGTTTCTTCCATGATACTCCCTATGTGCTCCTGAAAAACTGGACCATCTCTGATGTTTCAAATATGCTCTTGCATTTTTTCCCTACTCAAGTCTGAGCCCTTCTTCATGCTTTTCATTTTATCTGGATTAACTCTCCTTTCCAATCTCCGTCAAAAGACTTCACATTGCCTCTAGGCCAATTTTAAATGCCCTGTCATCAGGAAGCCAGTGGCAAAGGCTGCTAGGTGGTCAACAAATCCTCTTTTCTGAGACACACAGCGGACTACACTTCCCGACCTCCCTCACAGTCAGCCGTGGTCACACAGTGGAGTTCTAGCCAATGGGAGCCAAGTGAAAATGGCATACACCCTTTCAGACCAGGCTATTAAAACTTTCTATCCTCCTTGTTCTTTCTCCTTCTCCAGTTTCACGTGGACAAGCCCAGCAATCCTGGAAGCTACATGTTGAAGACGGTGGACCCATAAGATAGAAGAATCTGAATCTTTAAATTAATATTTCAAGCAGAATGAATTACTAACCAAAACACCTGTTTTTTACTTTTGATGACTGAGTTTTTAACTTTTGCTGTGTTTGATACCTTATGTATATAGGGATTAGTTTTGTAGAAGTTCCATCATCTTATCTAATACAATCCTTGTCTTATCGCCGCAGTCAATCCAAAGTATCGCTTCCTGGTCAGCCAAGGGCAGCACGAGGCATTTAGGCTGGACAGCAGGCTGTGCGACCGGAAGGCTGGGAAAGCCGATGAAGGACTGCCTCTGAGAGGACACCTGCAGAGCCCTCAGCATGGTGCCTGCTACATAGTTGGTATCCCCTGAGGGACACAGAAGAGGTTGTTCTTAGGCTTGGCCATGTTCTCTCCCTCAGAAAGTCAAGCACCACCAGTGGACAGCAACAGATGCTTTCATTGATATTAAAAAGCACAAATTAGCAAAACAAATTAAAACACAAGGTAACCCTTCCTGCCACTGTGCTTCCTCTAACTTGGAAGCTAACTTGGAAGCTAACTTGGAATACAGATATTATGTGCACATTGTCTTTGTATATGTTGTTACCTCCTTTACATTTAGCTTCAACACACAGACGCTGCCACCGCCACCAATGTGTTGGAAATTCTTTGAGGTAGGAGCTACATCTTATATACCTTTATAGATAGTCCATGTCTAGGATAATATTGACTTGCCTTCCATAAATTCTGTATGATTTCAGTTGACTAATATTTATCATTTAAGGTGTGCTGTTGCATAGCAAAAGAGAAAATATCTCTTTTACAGTCTTTGTCCTTGTAGTTTCCTAAATATACAATTAAGTCATTTCTGCATGTTTTACTTAAATTAGTCATTTTAAGCAAAGAGAATTTCTCTAGGTAGTGGCGCTATCAAGATGAAACAAACACATTTCTTGAACATAGGAGCTTAAAGTATTAGGGGGTGACCAAATGAGAATCAAAGGTTTGAGGAATAAAGGGTTGTTTTTTTTAAGGTTGCAAATAAAAAAAGACTGCTTGTATCAAGTACACAAGGCATACCTAGCTGCTCTTGGAATCCAAGATAGATGGATAAAGAAGATGTGGTGCTATGTATACACAATGGAATATTATTCAGCCATACAAAAGGGAATTCTGTTATTTGTGGCAGCATGGATGAAACTGGAGGGCATTCTGCTCAGTGAAATAAGACAGACAAAGACAAACACCATATGGTATCACTTATACGTGGAGTCTAAAAAAAGTAATAAAGTCCAACTCATAGAAATAGTAGGCAGTGGTTGCCAGGGGCTGGGGAGCAGGGGAAATGGGGAGATGTTTGTCAAAGAAAACAAACTTCCAATTATAAGATGAATAAGTCCTGAGGATCTAATGCCCAGCATGTTGTCTATAGTTAATAGTATGTATTATATACTCAAAATTTGCTGAGAGTAGCATTCTTACCAAAAACAAAAAAGAATAACTATGTGAGGTGCTGAATGCATTCATAATCTTGATCGTGGTGATCATTTCAAGTATGTT